GTATGCATCTACTGTGCTGCTGATTTTAAAATAGCTCCAAGCCAGCCTGGTTGGGTCCAGGGCAGCAGGGCCCAAGAATGTGTGTTCCCTGCTGCTCTAAAAAAAAACAGTGGGCAGTTTGGCCAGGCCCAGGACACTGGTACCCTCCACCAGCTCCACTTGCACAAAACAGTTTTGCAGCCACTTCTGAGCATGTGACGATGGGTCCACAATCCCTCTGTATATCATAGAGCCATAGGAAACTGGAAATAGGTCAGTACCCCCTTAGACAGCCTCCTTTGTTGGTGGTATTCTGTTCAATTTTTCCCCCTTCTGCCATATTTAATTTCTCATGTCTTTATTGAAGAGGGATTGTATAGTGTCCCTGTAGGTTGCCATCAAATACGTTTTAAAATCAACATTGAAAGCATTTAAAACATTCAACCTCATTTGTCATCAAATATACAAAGTAAAATATTAAGACACCATTCTCAGCTTATTAAACTAGTATGTGTAGATTCCATAAAATGTTTTTATTTTAATTTATTTTAAAATAAAATGATTATTATAGTAATGAACATATCACAATGAATTCATCCAAGATTATACTTGCCTTCTACCAACGAAGTGGTGAAGTATCGATTTTAATGTTTGTCAAGGAGGAAAGGTCCCTCTGGTCCTCTGTCATGGCAGCCCGGAGGGAACACAAGCTGGCGACATTGACATGTGATGAGGAAGACTGTCTGTCACAAGTCAGGAAGGGTCATGATGGTGTCATTGGCCATGAGAGATTCTAACAGGGCTATCTCCTGGGATAGGGACAAAGAGACTGTCCACCTTACCAACACCAGTAACTGATTTCTGAAAAGTGAAATTCTATTACTTTGTAAATACACAACCAAAGACACATGAAAAGAACTCCTTAGAAATAGTTATCTTTTCAAGTCTAGAAATCTAAGAAAACACGGAAGAAGTATAATGCAAGATGATGCTCAGCTCGGAATGACAGTGACAGATGTGAAAAGACCAACGGTACCCAACAAAATGTATTTACAGACTAGACAGAATGACCATTACAGAGCAGCCGAGTGAGGAAGAGACAAGAACTACTGACATGGTGTCATCATGGAATAGACAAACACAATATGGAAGCCCACAAAAGGTCACATATCAAAGGGGGAAATTCCACTTGATCTAGAAAGATGGGCTTTTTCTTAAGTCCACATCTTCTGAGGTGTGGTTCTACTGCCTCATTTAACTCACTGCCATCAAGTCAATTCCAACTCATAGCGAGCCTACAGGTCAGAGTTGAACTGCCACCGGGAGTTTCTGAGACTGTAACTCTTGAAGACGGTTCATCTTTCTCTGGCAAAGTGGCTAGTGGTTTAGAAATGCTGACCTCACAGTGAGCAGTTCAACACAGAACCCACTAGGGCTCCTTATTGCCTCTTTTAGAATGTAGTTTTTTAAGCATTTTATAAACTATGATACTGCCTACAGTTATAAACTATGAATGCCAAGTACTAACATTGAACAGGCAGCTCATGCTTGCTTCTTCTTGTGGCTTTACATGCTGTTAAGTGGGTTCCTATTCATAGGGACCCTGTGTACAACAGAATGAAACCCTGTCTATCCGCACCACCTTCACACGTGTTATGTTTGAGCCACTGTTCTAGCCACCACGTCAATCTAGCTTATTGTTGAAGACCTTCTTTGCCACTGACCTCTACCAACCCCACTGTCCTTTCTTCAGGGACTGCGGGTAACATGTCCAAAGTATGTGATGTCTCGATATCTTCAGATCTAAGGCGCAATCTGGCTGTACTTCTTCCAAGATAGGTTTGTTTGTTCTTTTGGCACCCCATGGTACTTTCAACATTCTTCACCAACACTGTCATCAAAGGCCTCGATTATTTTGTGGTCTTCCTTATTCATTGTCTGAACTTTCACATGCTTATGAAGCAATTGAAAACACCATCGTTTGGGTCAGGCGTAAGCTTAGTCCTCAAAGTGACATATTTGCTCTTTAACATTTTTAAGAAGTCCTGTGTAGCAGACTTGCATAATACAACATTTGAGTTCTTGACTACTGCTTCCATGACGGTCAATGGTGGAATCAAGTAAAATGACCCTTGACACGTTCGATCTTATCTCCATTTATCATGGTATTTATTGGTCCACAAGTGAGGATTTGGGCTTTCTTTACACTGAGTTGCAATCCATATTGCAGACTGAAGTCTGATTTTTATCAGCAAGTGCTTCAAGTCCTCTTCACTTTCAGCAAGCAAGGTTGTGTCATCTGCATATCAAAGGTTGTTAATAAGTCTTCCTCTAATCCTGATCCCCCATTCTTCTTCACATAGTTCACCTTCTTGGATTATTTGCTCCACATACAGCATGTAGACTGAATAAGTATGATATGACCCTGACACACATCTTTCTGGATTTAAACCATGCAGTATGCCTGTTCATTCTATGTACAAGTTCCACATGAACCCAATGAAGTCCCACTCTTAGCCATGCTATCAGTATGTTATGGTCCCCAGTCTAATGCCTTGGCCTAATACTGATTCCAGGTTAACACAGTCTTCCTATCTCTGCCAGGAGTACAGGGCATGCATAGGCAGGCCTGGGTTTTGTGAGTGTGTGTGCTAAACTTTTTGCTCTAGATTAGTTGAACGTTTCTAAAACAGAACATGTTTTATATTCAGCAATTTAGACAGATTTTGCTTCAATTCATCTATTGAAATCCCTTCAATATACCATTACTAATCTCACGCATTCCCTGTTTCCTGTATCCTCTTCCTTTCCTAACCCTCTGAACTTGGTCCTTGTGTAAATTCTGCCATTTTGATCTTAAATGGTTGGTTATTCTAACAAGGGAGTTTAGCTCCAGGCCTGAAAGGTAACTAAGGCCCTAGTCTTGGGGTCCCACTGATCTCTAAATGAGCTTGGTCTCGTGGTTTTGAGTTCTGTGCAGGACCTTCTAATTATTTTTCTAATCCTTTTCAGAATAGTTGAAAGTAGTGGTTAAGCACCATCTAGTTCTTCTGGTTTCAGGCCAGTGGAGACTGGTGTTGGCATGGTCAATTAGTCCATTGGAACAGTTGTTTCCAAGCAACCTCTAGTTCTCATTCTTTTTTTCTCTGGACATGGAGAGGCCAGCAGTTGCCGATGCGATGGCTGCTCACAGCTTTTTTCTTTTTTAGGTATAAGAAAGAGCTTCATCTATAAGAGCAATTGAACAGTGAGAGAACATCCCAGCCCAGTCCAGATCAAGTCCATAAGTCTGATTATTAGCCCCTATGTCCAATACCAATCTATAAATTCCTCTTCAGACTCAGGAAGCATATGCAATAATGCCAAATGCAGGATGAACACAGGCCAGTGGGTGGAAAGTCTTGTCCAGTCAGTGGCAGTGTAAGCATCTCAGCGCTGGCAAGGGTCTCCACGTGGCTTCTCCAACTCCAAGGTTCTGGCTGCCATCAGCCTGTCTCCATGTGACTGTCAGTCGAGAATCTTTCAGGGATCGAGTAAGTGTCCCACCTCTAGCGAGCTATTTATCTCTGTCGTACCTGCAAATGAGTTCATCAAGCTTCAACCTGATTGACAGGCTAAACTCCAACCTTTCACTCTTAATCTAGACTTGGAATTATTTGTATGGTCTTTTTCCCCCCCTTTTGGTGTCTATCTAGATAAGATAGACAGGGTGAGCTGCTCACAGCTTTTAAGACTCCAGTTGCTACTCACTCGGGTCTGACTCTCTTTGTGAACGATGTTATGCCAACTGACTTCGGTGTCTCCTGAGATTATGTCCTGATTCTGCCTCTGGGTTTGGTGTAGCATGTGATATAGGGTGGCTTCAGAGCCATCTCCCCGGAGCTGACAGTCGTCCCCTCTCAAGCCTTCTCTGTGGAGTGGTTCCTCAATGGCTATTAGACAGAAGCTGCCAAAGAAGGCAGACATCTACTCTGATACAGTACCCACCTTCCCTGGGTGCACAGGGATCTGTCTTGAGCTCCCAATTTTCCACTACTAAGCGTCAAGAAGGGTGAATATGCCTTGGAGTCACAGGAACAAATCTGTCTTAGAAGAAGTATAGCTGGAAGGTTCCTTAAAAGTGAGGATGGTGAGGCTTCCGCTCATGTACTTTGGCCATGTTATCAAGAGAACCAGTTGCTGGAAAAGGACTTCATGAATAGTAGAGAGTCAGAGAGAACAAGGAAGTCTCACTGAGATGGATAAACACAGTGATTGCAACGATGAGTTTAAACACAGCAATTGTGAGGATGACGACGGACCGTGCAATGTTTTGTTCTGTTGTCCGTGGAGTGGTTATGCGTCAGAACTGACTCGATATGACCTAACAATGGTAGCAATAAGGGCAAGGTATTTTGTAGGTGTGACTGGACCTGGCTACCCTGAGGCTGAGCCATGCTCCAGTGGCCACCGGGGAGCTAATCTCCCAACTGCTGACAGGAAGCAATGACTTGACTATAGAGCTAGTTGGATGAAGTGAATTCAGGAAATTAACTTTTCTCCACACATCGGCCATCCAATAAGGTCTCCCCTCCTGGAATAAAGTAATGTTCGCGTGTCCCGGTGAGGAAAGTAACATCGTTTAGAACGATCACTGTTTTCTGTTTGATTTCAAACATAACCATTTACAGAAGACACTGCTTGATGACCGGGTGCCAGGTGGCTGTTCAAGGACCCATCGGCAGATGTTTGATCGTCAGGAAAGACCGATTCCTCTTGTCAATGAGTTCCCACCCATCAGGAAAGGAGGGTGTCAGACAACCCCAGGTGGTCCTCCACGCTCTCTTCTTGGGATCCCTCTTCTGTTTCGAGGAGGAGAATGGCTCTCACTCCAGAGGAGTCCCTGCCTGTGGACACTGAACAGGGAATAAGGCCGGTTCACTTAGAGCAGAAGCACAGCTGCCCTCACCTCGGGCAGGGACCAGTGGCAGACTGGCTGTGATGGCTTGGGAAGTGACGCCTGGGAGAAATCTCATCAATTTCTAGGTTTGCCCCCCTAGGGGCAACGTTCTGCTGGGCAAGGGCTGCACTGCACACAGCAGCTCTGCCACATCCACTGCATCAATAGTGCCACCGGCATGCAGACCCTGGCCCGCTGTGTCCAGCCGGCTGCCAGGTCCATCATAGGTGCTCAGCAAGCACTGGTTGAACTGGACAGCCAAGGGCTTCTCTGGGTTGCGCTGTCTCTGGTGCTCGGCGGGGTGGGTCCTCCAGCTGAACATTTCTCGGCACTTCCGCAACTTCTCCCCAGAGTGGGTCTTCTGGTGTTTGATCAGGCAGTGGTTTTGGCTGAAGGCCTTCCCACACTCGGCGCACTTGTAGGGCCTCTCGCCGGTGTGGACCCTCTGGTGCACGATGAGAGACGAGTGGCAACTGAAGGCCTTCCAGCACTGGCTGCAGTCAAAGGGTTTCTCACCCGTGTGGACCCGCTGGTGCACCACGAGGTAAGCGTGGGAGCCGAAGGCCTTGCCACACTCACTGCATTTGAAGGGCTTGTCACCGCTGTGGATTCGCTGGTGCACGAGGAGGTACGCGTGGCAGCTGAAGCCTTTGCCGCAGGCCCCACACTTGAAGGGCTTCTCGCCCGTGTGGCCCCGCTGGTGCAGGGTTAGGCGCGAGCGGCTGCGGAAGGCCTTGCTGCACTCGCCGCACTGGAAGGGCTTCTCGCCACCGTGGATCGTCTCGTGCACGGTGAGCGACGCGTGGCACGTGAAGGCCTTCCCACAGGCCCCGCACTTGTAGGGCTTCTCGCCCGTGTGGATGCGCAGGTGCCGTGTCAGGTGGGTCCTCTGGTTGAAGGCTTTGCCACACTCCCCGCACCGGTAGGGTTTCTCGCCCGTGTGGATGCGCCGGTGCATGTGGAGCAGGGAGCTGCAGCTGAAGGCCTTGCAGCACTCGGTACACTTGTAGGGCCGCTCGCCCGTGTGGCCCCGCTGGTGCACGATGAGAGAGGAGCTGCCGCTGAAGGCCTTGCGGCACACAGCGCAGAAAAAGGGCTTCTCGCCCGTGTGGGTCCGCTGGTGCTCCACAAGGCTGGCGCTCCAGGGGAAGGCTTTGCCGCACTCCGGACACTTGTAAGCCTTCTCACGGGCATGCCATCGCCTGTGCAGGGCCAGGGCAGAGCTCTGCCCAAAGGCCTTACCACACTCGCTGCACACAAAGAGGCCCTCCGCCGGGCCCGCTCCCTGGGACCTGCCCACCTGGGAGCCCTTCCCCTGGTCAGTGGACTGGAGGATGTCTCTCTCTGCACACGGCCTCCGCTGCTGGGTGACAGTCTTATCCCTGAGCTGGAAGTCTGTCCCGTGTCTGTCATGGGAGCTGACCAGTGTGGGGATATTGTGCTGCATGAGGGTTGACCTGAGAGGAGGAGGCCCTCTCTCGGACTGGCCAAGTGGCCAGTCCTTCGCTGGCTTCCCGGAGGCCCCCTTGCTTCCTGGCTGAGAATCTACCTGGGGCTCTGCATGGCCCCAGGCATCGCCCCAGCTGGGGTTGTAAAGACAGAGCCCCTTCCTTTGTCTTCCTGTTTTCTTCTCCTCGCTGGTGGTAGTTGGAAGCCCCGACTCTGTAAAAAAAAGGGGTGTGGGATGCATTTCTAGGATCAGATGAAAAAGGGGAGCTGGGATTTCGACCCAAAATCCAGCCAGAGGTACAGAGGCAAGAGAGTGGGAGACCTGGAACGGTAGAGGCAGAGAGTCAATGGTCAGCCACCGTCTGGATGGAATGTGGGAGCCGACGTCAAGGGGGGCAGGGGAGGCAGCAGGGAGGGGCCACTGCAGAGGCATCAGAAAGAGAAGGAAAACAGAAGGTTGCTGGGCAGGGTGAGCTGGCCAAGAGTCAGCACAGAAATGCTGGCAAACCGACGGTGCCTCTAAAATCATGCCAGGCCCTGAGCACCTACGACTTCCGCAAAGAAGGAGATTTTCAAACTCCCCTGGTGCCAAAAGGGACAGAGAACTTCCCAGCCATTTCCTTCCGCATCTCCTATTGAAAACTTGAAGCTAAGAGGACTTTCTCTAGCTCTAGCTGTGGGTTTTTGAACAGTTATAAACAACCCTTGGTAGATGTGGTGGCCTTGGCCTGGAAGGTGTCATGTTGAGGGAAGCTCATCGCTCCCAGAAGGACAAAGCCGGTCTGGTGTCATTTGTAGGAGATGTGTCTAGGACCAGCAAAGGTTGACAGGCCAAAGCTGACTGGTGGCAGGTAGGATATGTCAGGCCGCTCACCATGAGGTTGGCAGTTTGAACCTAGCAGCTGCTCTGAAGGAGAAAACTGAGGCCACCTGCTTCCATAAAGATAGTGTCGGAAACACTATACAAGGCTGCTATGAGTCAAAATCGACTTGATGGAAGTGGATGGGTTTAGAGGCAAAAGGGAGGTGCGGGGGAGAAAGGGAGCTACTGTCTCAGGAGGCTCTGAGCTTGTTTCCTTAGAGAGGTGGAGGTTTGCCAGCGCACGGTGATGATGACAGTCCACATGATCAGTTTAACTGCTGTCAGTCAACTGTACTCATGAAAGGTGTGGGACTCGAACATGTAGTTTGCCACCACAACGCAAAGCTCAATGAACCTCTTGCATTTTGCATCCCAGGCTGCCTTTCCTGGGGCCTGGGGACCACCTCTGAAAGAAATGTAGGCATTGAGAGGTGGGGCAGGTTTGTCTCCCTGTGAGCTTTACTCTCACAGGTAGTTCCTTGCTTGTTGCAAGAAAAAATGCAAGAAGCTGTCTTTTTCCTCTGGATGAAGACAAGGAACATGTCTGCGAGGGGCTGTGTCTACCTAGCTCCATCACTGCTGTGTTCTTGCACATAATGGTCTCCACACATGTCGAGAGAAAGGAAGGAAGGAGGGAAAGGTCCAGAAGGGGACTGAGAACATGTGTATGGGGCCAAGACTGAATGAGAAGAGGAAGCCAGAGCAGAGGTAAGTGAGGTTTCCCCAGTGTGTGCACATCACCTGGGCAGGTAGCGACATGGACTCTATGCATGTACCACGGGGTCTCACCTTGTTCCAAATGGGAGATCCTGGCAGGCTTGCAGACCAGAGGCCCTGTCCGTGAGAAGAAAGGGAGCTACATTAGTTGCTGTTTTGTGAGCTAGAGACCCAAGCTCATGCAGCAGGATAAGATGGCATTGCAGGGGGGTTCCCAGGGTGGGGAACCTGTGTAATAGGAACAGAAGGCAGAAGCCTCTGGGACTCATTGTGGTCAGGATATCCAACACAGACCCTAGGCTCTAAGATATCCATTTCCTCATCTGAGAGACTAAGTCCAGGTCCCCTCTGTTCTGCAGGGTCAGCCCAACTCCTTTGGGTCCCACTCCCCAAGCCACATGTGGGCCCCCACAGCCATGAGAAGCCATGCCTTCCATGTGTTATGTGGGGCTGGTGCATGCGCCCAAGGGAATGTCTTGTTCCATTGTCCCCGAGGGCTGCTCTGCGTTGGAACCAATTCGAGACACCCCCCAACAGTGGCAGCAAGGGCAGCACCAAGGCCATGCTCAGTAGCATGGACCCTGGGGAAGACAACCAGGGAGCCATCTTACCAAGGGCGAGGAGGTTCTGGTAGTTCTCCAGCATTACATCCCAGTACAGGGCTCTCTGGGGGGAGCTGAGCTGGCCCCACTCCTCCTGGGTGAAGTTCACAGCCACGTCCTTGAATGTGACCAATTCCTGAAATGAGACACGTAGGCTTGCCACCATGCTCCTTCCCCTTGCTTTTATGACCACTTAAGAGTGGATGACATAGTTACTAAGGGCTTAATCATGGAAATGACCCCTGGCAATGAATGGGCTCTGAGCTGAAAGATCAATTGTTCAAATGCATCAGCTGCTCCTCACCAGAAGGATGTGGTGGTCTGCTTCCCGGATGAATTGTCTCCTGTGCACTAGGATCGACTCAATGGCAGTGGTTTGGTTCATGCCGCGTATAAAATTCAATTCCGAGTATGGCAGTATGGCTCTAACTGAGAGCAATTTGGTGGTAGAGAGACTTGGCATAACCGGAAACCAGAACCTGGTTTGTCTGTTCCACAGAAGTGTGAATTCGCTGTATGGCACTTTGATAAACCATGTAGAAACACAGCAGGGGAATGACATGCGCAAAGGAGCCCAACAGAATCCACCCAAGTCTCACACAGCATACGGAGAGAAACTTACTTTGGTTAGAAACCCTGAAATGAAAAATAAAATCTTGATGTCATTTCATATCTGTTAAAACAACAACCACTATGATGAGTTGATTTCGACTCATAGCAACCCTATAGGACAGTAGAACTGCTCCCCAGAGTTTCCAAGGCTGTACATTTGTATGGAGGAGCAAACAGCCTCATCTTTCAACTACAGAGAAGCTGGTGGGATTGAACTGCTGTGTCAATGGGTCTCCTTCACAGTATCAGCGAGGTGACATGTGTGAAGCTAGAAAATACCAAGTGTTCGTAATCATGGGGGTGGGAGGCACGGCCTCACACTGCTGGCCAGGTGTCAGGGGGCATGCATTCTGAAAGTCAACATGACTGTTTGTATGCAGGTGAGACAGAGCTTCAGGAAAAGCCCAGAGGCTGGAAAGGGACATCATGCTTGGTAAAGCAGGGGGTCAGTGGACTTGAGAGACACCCACCATGCCAGGGACTGAAACCACAGCTGCAAGAAGCAGCTCAAACAGGTGACTGAACTATGGAATTCTATAGGAGGTGACGTATATACCAATACAACTGTGTAATTAAAAAGAAGCTCAAACACACCAGGGACTGTGAAGATGGCTAAGAACCAGGCCCTATTTTCAATGATATCTTAGGTTGCCAATGATCAAAACTGGTAACAAGTAAAGCCAAGAGTATGCATTCCCTAGGTCTAGAAAATCCATTTCAAGTTCACGCCCAGCCTAGGACGATGGACAAAACTAGAACCCAGCTGGAAAGCCCAACATTCAGAGATGACGATACAACTGAATACCATACAGCAATGAGATGAGCACGTTTGGGGTCAATGACCCGCACACGAGGAGTCCTCAACAGCACAGCGGGGAGCAGCCCTTACAGCACCGTGCGCTACTTGTTGGGCTCAGAGCTCACCAACTGTTCCTTAGGGAAGAAATGAGGCTCTCTGCTCCTAAAAGGATGTATAACCTCCGAGCCGCCACAGAGCAGTTCTAATCTGTGCTCTAGCGAGTATGAGAAAGCGAACACACAGTAGGTGCTCCATCGCTGGGTGCTGTCATCAGCATGTCAGCTGTTCCTGGGGAAGGGAATGAAACAAAAACCCTTCATCCTTTTCAGGCATGCCTTCGTTTTAAAAAAAATTATTATTTTTTTTTTTACAAAGACTGGCAGCAAATCTGGCCAGATTTAGATCTTTGCTGATTTGATCAAGGAGGTATAGAAAAGGTGTTACGCTCTTTCAATTCTCGCCAAAGTTTAAAAAGAGGCAAATGGGTAAAAGGCAAAAGGCCATTCCAGGAGGAGAAAGGGCAAGTTGCCAATAACCATATTAAAATGTTGATTTAACCCTATAACGCCAAGCATGACGATTTTGTAACATTTAATTAAATGTATATCTAAATATATATTGATAGCTATGAAAATAAAGAATAAAAGCAAAAACTTTTTTTCCCCCTGAAATTAAAAATTCAGGCGTTAGAGGGTTAAATCTTTTAACATCTTTTAAATCTTTTTAAAAGATTAGAAAGGAAAACAGGAACCAGAATAAAAGTAAGATAACATTGTCTCTTTTACCTACTAGAGCAACACAAAAGAGAACCTAGTGAATTTGTGGAGAAGCACTTAGAGTGGGCATATGAAAAGCTATCCCTAGCTGCTTCTGGGTACTGATACCACAGAAACCAAAGTGCTTATAGGTAATGTTATGACTGCAAGGCAGGGCACTGCAGTACTGACATCACCAAAGCCCAGAAACTCATGGGGTTAGTAGGATGGCTGACTACATTATAGAACACACATCTAGGCAGGCAATGGAAAATGCTGTATGATATACAGATATCACAACCTGGTGAACGTGAAGAGGACTTGAAGCACTTACTGCTAAATATTAAATACTGTAGCCTTCCATAGAGATTATGCTTTAACATAAAAATTTAGAGAGCACAGGTAGAGCACCTCACCTCGACTCTTGGGTTGGAAGTATTTCCCCAGCCCAGAACTTCCTGAGGACTGCAGAGCAAGGCTCTGGATGGAGGTCCTAACATGACTGCAGAAGATCCAGGGCAGGGAAGGCATGTATTCACTTTAAAGAACAGGACATTCAAAAGGAGGAACGATATCCACTCACCTCAGATCTGGCTTCCAGAAGACCATGACCCAACGTCTCTACTGTATTCTCTGTGAAGGGATGAGTAGCGTTCTGAGAGGACAGAGCTGGGTAGAACGAAATGAGGCAAGGGGTGGACTGTTATGTACACAGCTACCAGACTCTTGTGTTGAGAAAGTCCATCCCACCCCAGACACAGATGGGACTAGAGAGGAGTCAAGAACTGTCCCAGGCAGGGTATGGAGACAGGGTAAGGACAAACCCTGATATTTCTAACACAATGTCATATGGCACCAGAGACAAATTCCATCGGTGTCTTCAGAACTTTGGTGGCACTGTGGGTGAGGCATTAGGTTGCTAACCTCCAGGTGAAGGTCTGAACCCACCAATCATTCCTTGGGCGAAAGTGAGGCAAGCTGCTTGTAAAGATTTGACAAGCTGCTTGTAAAGATTGACAGTCATGGAAACTCTAAGGCATAGTTCCACTCTGTCCTGTACGGTTACCACGAGTCAGAATTGACTCAGTGGCACTTGGTTTAGTTGGGTCAGTATCTCAGACACCTCCATGCATGGATTAGAACTACTGCCATTCCCTTCCTGCCATAGTCTGCTTGTGACTTTCGAAGCACACAGCAGCAGGAGACTTGATGGTGCTGGGTACTTCTGGAACATTCACCTGACCTCTCAGAGTGGGCCTCAGAACAGGGAGTCCACAGACTTGACCAAGTCAAGCTGTACCTGTCTGCTCAGTCTGCTTCCAGGTGGGGGCCTCCATGGTACCTTTGGACAATGTCCTGTGGAGGATGGGCAGTTCTCCAAGGACACAGGGACAGCAGTCTGCACGAGAGCCTTGCGGGGCTGCACAAGCAAACACACATGCCCATTCACATCACATGTGCCTAGTCTCACACACACACACACACACACACACACACACACACACACGGAGCTTCCTTCTCTGTGCTGCACTGGAGAGGCTAGGCAGGCTGACGAAGAGCAAACACATACCCACAAGATCAGAGGGCCCAAGCACAATCACACACCTATCCCAGCATCCCCTGTACTGGCATACAACTCCTCCTTGTGTGCCCTAGCACAGAGACGGGGCCAGGCAGGCATGGCAAACACACTCTGTCTCACACATTCCCACATTGCATCACACTCAGCACACACACACACTCACACACACACACACGCACCCCACACACATCTTCACACTCGTGCACACACACATGCAAACATAAATGTTCCCGCATACATGCACAAACCTTACATGCTTACACTCACTCTTACACTCACATACGCTCTCATACACGACACAAATGCACGCACCCACAACTCAAACCCTCTCACACCCTCATGCAAGCAAGCACTCCTCTTAGGAACACGAGTACACACAATTCTCACAACCTTCTCATGCACTTACACATGCACACACAATCCTCTTGCAAACGCATGCAGCCACACTGTCTAAAACACACACACTCGTGAACGCGTCCACACTATCTCACAAACGCACACACACACCCCCAAACGGGCGTGCGATCACACCAATCACACACTCCTCTGGGAGACCGGCGCCGCAAAGCCCAGGGCCAGCCTCAGTCGCCAAGAGTCAGTGGACGCGGCACACGGCCGCCATTCGGGCCCTGGGACGGCTGCGACCAAGCGGCAGAAGCTTGGACTCCGCGGGCCTGCCACAGAGAACCACAACCACCGCAAAGGCGCTGCCAGGAGGCCGCCGCGAACCATGCGCCTGCGCGGAACAGACGTGAACTACAACTCCCGGAGGCCTTCGCGACGCGCAGGCGTCTGAGTCTAATTCCCTGCGAGTGTCCTGCGGGCCCACGTGCGGCACAGTCTTCTGGGAATTGTAGTTCCTGTCACTGGGAAGCGATGGGTAGAGGGGGGGTAGTTTTCTCTCATTGTGAGGGGCAGGTGTAGGACATAGGCTAGGGAAAGGGGTCCCCAGGAGCGTATAAATGTCCTGTTCGTTCATGCCACTGGCTCACATCCAAGTTTGCAGGAAAAAGCGCAGGCCCCCTTTGTAGTGATGGGCTAGACTAGAAGTGTAGGGACAAGAAGCGATGGGCTGGAACCGACAGGGATTTTTTTTCCTCAGGAGAAGCTGAAGCCCTTGGGAAGGAGACTCCTGGAGTGAGGAGAGCCCCAAACTTGTTCTCAGAGAAGCTGGATGATCCTGATTCCAATACTGACCCAACCTTAGCACAGTACCCTAACCTTAACACACTGAATAACACTAATAACAATAGCCCAAAGGAAACCCACCACACTATTGTTGAGGAGATTCTGACTCATAGCAACCCTATAAGCAAGAGGAGAACTGCCCCACAGAGTTTCCAAGATGGTAAATATATATGGAAGCAGATGGCCTCGTATATTCCCTACTGGGCAATGGGTAGGTTTGAACAACCAACCTTTCAGTTAGCACTGCATCAGTACTTGACCTAGGCTCCTTACTGTACCAAGAACTCACTGCGTAGAGTGGATGCCAATTCATAGCAGATGCCGACTCATAGCAGATACTGACCCTGAGGATCATAGCTCAATACGTAACTACTACACCATCTAACCATGTGCCATGGTGTTGTGGTTATGTGTTGGCAGTTCTAAACCACCAGCTGCTCTGTGCAGGAGAAAGATGAGACTTTTTACTTCTGTAAAGAGCTGCAGCCTCTATTAAAAATATATAGCATCTGGGGTCTTAAAGGCTTGTAGTCAAACAAATGGCCATCAAGCAAGGAAGCAACAAAGCCCACATGGAAGAAGCACACCAGCCTGTGTGATCATGAGGCGTCGATGGGATCAGGTATCAGAAGTTCAAACACAAGCCATCACATTGATGTGAAGGAGCGTGGATAAAGTGAAGACCCAAAGACCCACCTGCAAGTTAATTAGGCCTCACAGAGGGGCCATGTGGGGGTGAGGGGATGAGGAATTCAGGGTGGGGTATAGTACTGATGAAACACATAACTATCCTCTAGTTCTTTAATATTTCCTACCCTTACTATTAAGGCTTAGGATTCCCCTCATTGATACCGTTATACCTACATATGTTCACATGTATAGTGAAGATCGTGAAATGCAGGAATGCCAGGATAGATGACCCTTCAGGAACAGCAAAGGGAGTAATGATTCCCTGAGAGTATATACAGGGAAACATGGGGGAAAGTGGGGAATGGAGGTGGGGGAGTTGATAGCAATGGTGATTGTACAAGTATAAGCCCACTCATGGGAAGTGAGTAACAGAATTTTAGGTGAATGGATATATTGGATGGGATAAGACACAGCTAAAAATAGATCTAATTAAAATAATAGAATAATATATAAAACAAGGGCTCCTGGGTGGAGGAGGGGGGATAAAGGGGAGCTGATGTCAAAGCGTTCAAGAAGAAAGTAAATGTTTTGAAACCAATTGTATTAGTAATTGTACAAGTATGTATGATCTATTTGAATTATGGAATGTTATGACACCTGTAAGAGCTCCCAATCAAATGATGAACAACAAAAAACTACAGCCTCAGATACTCACTTGCCTGTCCCATCAGGTCACTATGACTCCATGACAATGAGTTTGAGTTCTTTTTGAGCATGTGCCAAGCGGGTTTCAAAGGGCTTGATATGTATTATCTTGGCTGAATAAGAGGACTACAGAAAGACTGTGTGACTTGTCCCAGTTCACACAACTAGGAGATAACAGAGTCAGACTTTGAATCTAGGCCCGAGAAACTCCAGAACCCAAGTTCATGACCAGGCTATGGAAGGGCTGGCCTGACAAAGGTGTAAGCGGAGGTTGGACACAGAGGTCCCCACCCCACCCCCTGAACTTGACCACAGACTCAGTTTTTTTTGTTTGTTTGTTTTTTACTCATTTTATTAGGGGCTCATACAACTCTTATCACAATCCATACATACATCAATTGTGTAAAGCACATTTGTACGAGACTGTTAATTCTTTTTTCTTCATTTAAAAAAAATCATTTTATTAGGGGCTCATACAACTCTTTTTTTTTTCTTTTTTTTTCATACAACTCTAATCACAATCCATGCATACATCAATTGTGTAAAGCGCATTTGTACATTCATTGCCCTCATCATTCTCAAAACATTTCCTCTCCACTTAAGCCCCCGGCATCAGGTCCTCATTTCAGACTCAGTTTTAGCAACTCTACCCTAGCTTTCCTTGCTGGAGTAGTCAACCTCCGGTAGGTCCCAATAATTCTTATATCCCGAAAATCACATTTCTCACACTGAATAGGGCTAACCTGGTGGTGTAGTGGGTTACATGCTGGGATGTAACCCCAAGGCCAGCAGTTTGAAACCACTAGCCACCCCACGGAAGAAAAATGAAGCTTTCTACTCCCATAACAAGTGACAACCTGGGAAAGCCAAAGAGGCAGCTCTACTCTTCTATATGAGGTTGCTATGAGTCAGAACTGACTCCGTGGCAGTGAGTGTTTTGTTTGTTCCTTTGTTTTTAGTGTAACCAAAAGATTACATGAGTAAGGGGGAAAGTATCGCTACCACGGTTCAAGTTCATTAATTCCAAACAAAATATGGTTAAACATGCCCCAGTGATGAGTAGATAGCTTCAGGCAAGTTCCTTCAGTAAGACACTTACTTGTCTTGGGGGAGGGAGGGGGAAAAAATGAGAAGCTGATACCAAGCGCTCAAGTAGAAAGAAAACGTTTTGAGAATGATGATGGCAGCAAATGTACAAATGTGCTTGACACAATGGATGATGTATGGATTGTGATAAGAGTTGTACAAGCCCCCAATAAAATGATTTAAAAAACTTGTCTTAATCTTGCTATAGTACCTTTTTAAAAAAAGATCCAATCAGAAGAGTTGCTTCTGGGGAATTTGCTGGTCCAATTAAATTCAAAGCAGGAATCTGGACACAGAAAGTCACAGTGACTGTTTTGAGGGATCCCAAAAGGAGCGATCTTGATAGATTTTTGTGAAAGACACAGGACGATCATGAGGGCTTATTAGGAAGTTTTTAAAAATCTGAAAACTGCAAACCCAGGGACAGTGGAACAACGAGACCTAACATCGACGGCGAGGAGGTGTAGAACGTCTGGTGGGGTTTGATCAAGTACCATGTGGCCAGGAGGAATTACTGAGAGCAGAGTGAAGGTCGAACATGGTAGTGGGACAGGAGGACAGTAAAAGGAACTAGAGGAAAGAACTAGGAGGCAAAAGACATTTATAAAGGTATAAATATAGACATGTATATATGTAAATATATTAATATGTAACGATAGAGATGTTTATGTACATATATTTATATATTACATATCAAGGCAGCAGATGGACATTGGGCCTCTTCTCAAGTCCTCCCTCAATGCAAGAACTCGTTGTTCTCATAACCAGGCACTCTGTGACACTCACTGAAGTCAAAATGGGCGCATAAGCAACTGTGGTGAAGAAAGCTGATGGTGCCCCGCTATTACAAAATATAGCATCTGGGGTCTTACAGGCTTGAAGTTAAACAAGCAGCCATCTCTTAGGGAAGCACCAAAGCCCACATGGAAGAAGCACACCAGCCTGTGTGATCACAAGGTTTAGATGGGATCAGGTATCAGGCATCA